ACAACATGAACCTGAGAAAAAGTTCTCAGCTTTTATGTTACACTCCAGTTCAGAGATAAATTGAGATATGGACACATAGAAATAAGGTATTCCAAATTATGTTAAGCAGCGTGATATCAGCCAGAAAGAACAACCCAGGGAAGTTATACATCCATGTATCTAAATACAGGTTTGGGGAGGGAGGTTTGTCTGTTTAGAAGGAATCAAGTGCAAGGCACTTCAACGCATGACAATACCTACTGACATGCAGTGAGGGTGCTCAGCATCTTCCATGATTCTTTCCCAGGAATATTAGACAAGAGGGATACAAAACAACTTTGCTGTAATTTAGTAAGACATACAGAAGCCATCTGTTTCACATCACATGGGCATACCATACAAACAGTCCCTGATTTCCCCCATCAGGAGGATTTCTGATTGTATTTAAAATTGCTAAACCTATTTAAAAAAAAATTGGCCTTTCAATACACTGTAGGAATTGTCTTAAAGTACGCCACAAACCGTCAGTGTTCTAAGCGTAAGCATAATAAGAACTCATTTTAAGGCTCTGATTTGAGACATAAGGATGGATACATCCTTTACGTAAACCTTTACGATCATGTCGCCCTCTATCACTGCCCTAGGCATTATAATACGCATAGAATCAAACTATTCTGACTGCTAATAATTAACCAGACAAAAGGATCAAAGTAGCAAAACAGAGCTCTGCAATTCTCTTTAGCCTCTGTTCACATTTTGGTTGCAGATATCAATTTATCATTCAACTACAATTTTTTCTAAAGAAAGGCAATATTAAGAGGAAGCTTTGAAAATCTTACTTACACACAACTCCATATTGGCTTCTTGACTTTTTAAGAATATACACTATTCTTATCTGTTTTTAGAACTGAAACTTGTACTCCACCCACTATGCTTTCCATTGAAAGGGGAGGAAAAAAAAAAAAGAAAAAAGAGGCTCTTGATTCAGACTTTCAAAAGAAAACAGGAAGCCATGAAGGACTAGAAAAAGAAAGAGCAAGTCACCTTCAATTTTACTCTTGGGAACACTCCTCTCCAAGACACACCAATACTCATTTAGCTCATAACATCACCAAACAAGAACACTTCAGAAGAAAAAGATGAAAAATAAAGGAAACAAATGTTGTGCAATAAAGACACAGACAAGATCCTGGTCTTCCCAAAACATCTATTCAGAAAATTCACCCATGCCTTGAATGTTTGGTATTATTTTGTTCTACAATGCAAAACAGTGTTGCGGAAGAGTAATTTTGATCCACGGCCACGAAAACTGCTTGTAGAATAATATCTGATTATTTCTAGTTCCAAGTAAAAAAAATCAGTAGCATTTAATTCTATGTATAGATGTCATCTAAATACAGATGTCAGCGTGAGACAAAACTTCATAATGTATTTATCTACTCCTTGAGATCAAAGAGCCGATTAGTACATGCCAGTACACTACAAAAACAGGCCAATACCAGTAGTGGCATTTGGCATGCCTGCATCCTTGAGTAAGATAGTTCAAAGTTGTTTCTCTAAGTCCATACAGGATGCCGGAGTACAAAAGGAAGGACTGGAAGAAGTCCTGGCCAGAATCAGCTACATCTGGCACTATACTACAGATAGGGTAAGAACTAGAGTTGTAGTAAATGAGCGGTAAGATGTGAGCTGGTGAAAAACAGCTGTCTGAGGTCAAGCGGCATGTCCAACAGCACTCCCAAGCCTTGCTATGTATTTCTTTTTAGCAGGCAGAGCTGGTATCTGACTCAAATACCAAAATCAACAGCTTAAGCTGGTGCAGTTACTGATTTTCTGAAGTGGGGCATCAGGTCTGTTTTTCTTTGTCCATTAATGCTTCTTGACTGCTATTCTATACACTTTGAAATGCTTCTAAACTAATTTCAGGGCATATACAATTCACCTAACATTTCTTCTTTGATAAAGCATTGGTCTCATCCAGCCATTTGGGGAGCCCAATAGTTTGAGCAGGATTCCATGTTAGTGAATTAGTCAGTGTCAGAGCAGTCACTTCTCCGAAGAGACATGAAATTAATTATTTTGAAGTACTTAGCGTAAAATGAATTTTCTTTCTCAGCTGACTATACAAGTTTAGTGGATGTATTCTGCACTCTTGAGAGCCAGGAACTGGCTGGTCTGCAGGTCTGCTTACTAGCTTGATTAACACTCTATTCAAGGTGATAACACCCAGCCTCTAGCTTTAAGATTAGTTTAGGTTGTTATTCCACAATCAGATTTTTCTCACTGACGTGAGAATTACTGAAACATAGCATGTAATCTTTTACCAAACTCTGTAGGGAACAAAAAAACCAACCAAACAAACCAACCAACAGCTTGTTACACACTGTAAAGAAAAAAGTTATCCCAAACCGCACAGGTTTACCGCTTCCAGACCACAGAATGATCAACACCAGGATCATGGTTGATATTTCCCAAGCTAAACCTATAGTCAGCAAGCTTTCAAATAGAAAAGAAAGGACAAAGCATAATTTACTTTAGCACTGTGTGCTCCAGGAACAAAAAGCTTCTTATTACACATCCACCACAACAGTGTTTTGGATGTTTTTTTGGGGGTCTGGGATTTTTGCAGGTTGTTTTGCAAATAGAACACATGAAAACATAGAAAACAGTCTGATTCCCAACACACTGAGCTGCATTTGAGAGTCCTGGAAAAGTATATGAGCGTCTTATGCTGAACATAAAATCAAACAAATATATCTTTGTAGATACACAGCTCAAGCTTGTTTGCTCTAAGAATGTATCCTATCACACATTTCTACAAGTCAGTCGAGGGAGTCATATTGCAGTATTCACAACCTTGTCTACAACGTACTATTACTTCAAGCTACCATGAACATTTTCCATCCTTTCCGTGTGAAACAAAACACTACATTAGAGATCAAGCAGATCAAGTTCAAGCCAAAGTTTTGTTTTCATAGACAGACCACCAACAGGTCATCCTGGAATGTGTGTTACAGTACTTTTACTTCCAAAAGCAAAATAAATCTAGAGTTAGGTATTCGAAGCAGCATGCATTTTAAAGCAGTAGCAAACACACAGGTCAAAAATAATCAAGCAACCTAAACTCAGGTCCTTTTTCTAAACCTCGCCCCATTCCAAGACAAAATACAGACTTGAAGAGCTAGAATTAAAAAAAAAAACAAAAAAACAACCCCAAAAAAAAACCCCAAAAAACCCAAACAAAACCCTGGCCACAACCAAACAAAGAAAAACCTACATTGCGAGAGCTGGCTAGTCTGAGTAATTAGCTGATCACTAAGTGCTATGCTTTGTCATTTCATTGATCTTTTCAGGCTCAGTCATTTTCTAATAGCTGGAAGAATTAACAGCTACTTCTACACAGAAAGTGGGTTTAAAACTGAACTGACAACTCACATAAGTGGCATTTCATAAGAGAAATAATCCATTAAACACAGTACTTGAACACTAATACAAACAGTTCATTTAGCATTCACACCCTCAAAACTAAAACGCATTGGAGAGAAGCGACACAGTTAAATACAGGGGTCAAGCACGGTGCTGAATATCAAGAGAGGTGTATCGTGACAAACTTCAAAAATGCCTCACCTTGTCAGACTGCTCAAAAAAATACACAAATGACATTGCAAAAGCATTTTAACATATTGTATTTTAAAATATTATAGGATGTCATGCCCCTTTCCCAGAGCTCAGCACCATACACCAGCCAGACTGCCTCCGGGGGACTGACACCACCTGCTATGAACGCGAAGTGAATCGCCTAAGGAGTTTCCCATGTACCATGCCCTCTCTCAGACACAGGGACAGCTTAAGACACTTCAGAGTAAGGCACAGAAGCCTCATAAATAGGCAGTTACACAATAATATGCCCACACAGGGAAGTTTCTTCCTAACTGCAAGCAGTTAGTGGTTGGCTATGCCCTGAAGCATGAAGATTCATATCTGCATTAAAAACAGTAAATCTACAATGTAACAATTCAAATATTTATTATTTATATGCCTATCTAATCCCCACTTAAAATAATACTTTTCTCAACAATATCTCTAGAAATCAAGGTCCACAAGCTAGTTGTTTTCTGCATTGAAAGAAACAATACAACTTTCAGTCGGCACCGGCCCTGCTGCACCCTGTCGCACATTAGTAATCTTTTACTCAAGTGCTCATAGAAATACACCCCTAGACAACAAACTCTTCAGGGCTGGTATTTGTAAGGCATTCTCTGTGTTTACAAAACTACATAAATGAAAAAATAAGAGTTAGGGTTTGGACCTGGAAAATAACGAAGGTACAGTCTACCATCAGCTTTGCTTTCCAAACAGAGCTGATAAAGATTGGTTGGACAACTCCCAGGCACATTGAAAGAACTGTGAAATGAAAGAGCATGCTGAACATACCTTCTTCAAATATATATTAAAATAAAAAAAAAAAAAAAACACAAACAAACAACAAACCTTCTTTCTCTACTTCTAATTTGCTCCAGGCCAGCAAAGCATAAACTAGGAATTGCTGATATAGGGCCCTATATGAGTATTTACAGACGAAAGCATGAATTCCCACACTTAAAAACTTTCAATTTGATTTCTTAAAAGCATGTAAATGTCAACATTGCTCACTAGAAGATGTGAATGTATTTTTTGAAGTATTTTCAGGGGTGTGCATTTAGCCAACGCGACAGCTAAGACTTCCTGCTAATGTTTGCAACCTTTAAAAAAATTTCATGGTTCTAAAAACCTGTTTTGACATAGTGTGTTATCTACCCAGGGATGCAACCAGGTATCATGACTCACTGCAGAATTTTGTTATCTACTGTTAATTTTTCTCCTATACATACACTCAGCAGGATTCTCCCTCGCATTCTCTGCCACCCCCCCTTCCTATCAGCATCACACTTGATTCTAACTTTTCTTCCCTTGAGTAGTTGTCCTGTTGCTACAGGCTCAGACCAGTGGTAAAGCTTGCCTTTAAAAGTCACTTCACTTACCTTGTCTCTGGATTATAGCCCAGTATGTAGAAAAATGAATCCACTCGGGCTTTGAACTCTCTAGCAGCAAAGATGTCAGAGAAATGGGAGATATTACACTTCCCTCTGAAAGAAAGAGGGAAAATGGTATTAGAATTCTATCTTGAATAACAGCTATTTTAATTAAGTGCCACTGCAATCTGCATATAAGCTACAGACTAATGTCTAAAACTTCGTAAATATAAGACTGCTGTAACAAATAACCATGCAGATTCTTCCCACGGTGGAAAGGGAGAAAACTCAGTTACGTCGTCTCAGATGGTGTTCTACAAACATTCATTAGTTCTCATTCAGCCAGGACACAGTCCTGAGGAGCCCAAATTTAATCCAACTAACAAACAATATCTACCCTAGAAACACAATCCTGGAAGTGTCTTATTTTCAAAGTTTTTACACTTACATCTTTAAAGAAGCTTCGAAAATTCTACTACTCATTATTTGGGAAGTCAGCTTTTTATTTAGAAAGCTAAATAAAACTTCAGTTTAATAACCCTTCCGAATAAAAAGCAAAGCTATGCTGTTTTTAGCAAGACTGCAATCCTAACAATGCAAATTCCAAACATACAAAAGTTTCTACCTTCTACTTTCTTATATAAGAGTAAAACACATTGGGGGGGGAGAAAAGAGGATTTATTAGCTTGTTCTACAGCAGATTGTTAATAATTTTTTTTAATATAGTTTGTTGATGAAGTCATTATCCTTAAGGATGAGCATCAAGACTAGCTGTAAGAATTTGCATCTTGTTTCCTCAAGGGTTTGTTGGCCTGTTAATGTTCAACAGCTGCTCTTGTTTTGTCATTCAGTGCATCGCAGCACTGCCGCCAAGGAAATCAGATCAGAAGCGGGCCGAGACAAGCAGGCCAGACAGCCACAGCTAGTGCTTTTTATCTAAACCTGATTCGATGGAATAAACAAAGCAGAAGATTTTGCTCTTTTTCAGTATGTCAAGCTTTCTGGTATTGATACAGATAGCATCTCTTTTCACTTGTATTTACCGAATAGTATTTGCTACTATAAATAAGCTGCTATGGGGCTTATTTAACATTGTAAAAAGGTTTGCCAGTCTTGGTTAAAATTGAATGAAAAGCGCTGTTGCCACCAGTACACCAAGATGAATAATTATTCTGCCTCTAATAATCCTGGACCTGTTTGCCTAGTCTCCTCAGCAGAGCCTAAAAGCACTGCGTACTTGGAAAACAGCGCTAGAAAGTTGTAATGCTAAGCTTGCTTCCCTTCCTAATCTTTTCATGGTGAAGCACTTCAAAAAGGCTTACCAATCAACAGCCACTAAGAACTTTGCCTTGTAACATTAGCTCTCCGATACACAACATCAGCTACTACAGGTGAGGAAAACACACAGCAGAAGGATGAAGGATGAATAAAAGTTGCACAAAATAAAAAAAAAAAGTTGAATAAGACTGCTGTAAGACAAAATCAATACAGCTATCCTGTGAGTTGAGGCTGCATAATCGTCCTTGTGATTGCCTAATTCTCAGTCAATTCCCTTTCTGGCAAAGGACAAAGCAACACTGGATGTTGCACAGGTCACGCCAGGTTGTAAGGGAACATTAACAAGGTCTGTAATTGAGACATCACACAGAAATGCTGAAAGACAAACTTCTTCGCTAATATTTATTTTATCCCTGGTGGCTGAAGCTAGTTTCCTAGCTTAGTCATTTAGAAAGAAAGAAAATGAGAACGGGTATTTGTTTTGATATTTCACATTAAATTCACATTTTTAAAGTATTTTGGGGAAAAATATTTAGTTTCCTTTCAATAATTCATCTGACAGTTAATAAGTGTTTTCCAGATAAGCCTGTATTATCTATATTCATGAAAGCAGTACATCCTGTTCACAGCATTTCAGACAATTACTACTACGTATTACCACAAAGATTTACCATACAGGTAAAAAGGATGTAGCTGTTATTACACGCTTCCACAGGGATCTACAAGTATCCTCTAGTTAAATTTTTCCACCGGTTAGAGCAGAAGATTGGTAGTTACAATCACTGGTTTTATTTCCCAGTTTGTCATCAATTCATTGTGTGACCAGAGCTATTTGCTTGCAGAAGGCAGAGAAATAATCTCATATTATAATAAATTAGAATTTCATGTTAACCCTCCTTTCATGCATCACCATTCTGCCTACTGAAATATAAGAACATCCTGTGCAATTACCCTTACGTTCGCCTTGTATGCTGAAAGTTAGTGACGTGTATTAATCGCAATTTGCTAGAAAAGAATCAGCAAAAATATAATCTTTATCCTGCAAAAGTATATTCTCTCAATTATCAGCATCTTTAGATACCATCTACAAGCCTGTAAGAATTATCAAAAGTATGAACAATCCAGAACACAACAAAACAACAGTGAAACCATATGCCAACAAAGAAAAACAAGAGAGTGATCTGAACGGTGCCGATGGTACGCACTTCCAAACAAAAAGACGGCAGATAAAACACAAGACAGGTTGAAAAAGTGATCAGTTTGGTCTTTCAGCAGCCTCCACTCTTCTTGGAAGGGGAGAAGAGAAAGTTATTTTTCAAGTTTCCTTGGTATACACACATATTCCATTTTTGTGTTTTCTTTAAAGAAACCAGAAAGTATGTAGAAGAGAAGTTAAAATACTCCCAGGGAAAAATCCATACACATAGTTCAGTTTTTCTGTTTAAGCAGACAGATTTCCAAGATTGGTTCCATCAAGACAGCCAGCCTCCTGCTAGCTTGTTTCTAAGCACGCCAATTTAAAATTGGAAGGCGACCTTCTCTAAGTCAGAAAAGGCACTGTGGAATTTCATGAGATTATAGTACACCACTGGAATTTTCCAAGTTTATAAAAAAGTCATATATATAAATCAAAGACTTCTGATCCTTCTAACAGAAGCTGCAGCTACTTTGTCTTGAAGTAAGTGGCTTCAGCAAAGTGACTCTGAACAAAAAATGTCTCCAGATGGTTCTAGCGAAACACCATCTGAGCATTATTATCGGGGAGATTATTCAATTTGCATTTTGACAATATCCATGCATGTTCGGCATGTTGAAAATCTGCTGAAAAATAATGCCTCGCTGCTTCTATTTGAAAACATTTTTAAGTAATGGTCTATCCCCTCAGCCTAGTCAAAGGTTAGCCACTTAAGTTAAAAACGTAAGAGAGTAAAGAGAGCAGCAAGCTCCAGGGAAGGGCAGCAGAGAACAATGCAGGGGCCCATTACCTCCTGTCTGTACAGCCAGTTTTTAATGGAGCTCTTAGCTGAGCTGCAACAAGGACAAGTGCCTCAGAGCAAAAGCCTTAACGCAATTTAATCAGGGCACCGTACTAACAGTCACTTACCAGGAGACACTATTGTTAATAGTGAAATCAAACACGGAGGAGGGAAGGGTAGTATTTCTGCAGGAACTAGCAATAACCTAAATTGGCAACGATGGGAAACAATATCTTCTGAGCAACATTGATTAACTGAGATTAAAACGAGATTGTAGAATTGCAGCTTCTTTTTGAATGAGAACAGATAACACAAGTTAATTACTGTAGGAGATGAGGAGCAGGCTGAGCAGTATGCTAATGATCCCCACACAAACCCAGAAAAAGCACCTCTGTCAACAAGGTTTTTCTCATCCACCTCTGAGACACCGCACCACATCCTCTGTAGCTTACCTGAGGGCAGCAGCGTGGTAAGTGTCGACGTAATCTGAAATGAAGAGCTCTCGATTCTTGATAACTGGGTCTGTAATAACAAGCTCTCGTCCAGAGTCTGCCAGAGAGCAAAAAAACACAAACAAAAAAACCACCAACACATTAGCTGTAGTCCGAAAGCATCTTACCACTGCAATTTTGCAGGTATTTTTTACAGGTCAAAGTTTGAGGATGTTTCTTAGATACACGCTCCTCAGTGTTAAGATGACAAACATTCAGATTGTTTACATGGCCTGTAAGGTATGGAAATAATGTGATACCCATTTTTACACAGGAATTCTCCCTGGCCCTATCTCAAGAACTGCTGAAGGTAAAGAGCCTTTAGGGGTACTGGATGACATCTCATCCACCGACCACTAGAAGTGGTCACTCCCAGGTGAAAGGAACTAAGCAAACTAATTTATTACCGACTTCAGCTTTACAGGTTAAAGCTTTGGTTGTTTTGTGTGTTTAATCTCAAATCTTCAACAAAATTTTGACAGTACTAACTGCTTAGTCCTCTGGCTTTGAGATAAATACTGATAATCATGTTCAAATACAGAAAATTCTCAGTGTTAACGAAAAACTGGAAGACAATTTTTTCCATGACTTGTTTATAATACCTTTGAAGAACACACAAAAATACTTCTCCACATGCAAAAGAGTGTGACACAAAAAAGCAGCCATGTTATCAAAAATGCTCACTTCTTGACACTGTGCTTAGAACCCCATTGTTAGAAGTTTCAAATAAATTAGTAAGAGACATTAGATTTGTGCAGCTTTTGCTAAAAGCACACGCAAAATGTCCTTAATGCCTGCAAAAAGGAGAATGTATGCCCAACTTTGTACTGTCATGCACCAAAAAGTTGCTGTGTTCCATATTTCAAGCATCAACTTTTATCATCACAATTCACCTTGGAGTATCTTCAGAATTTTAACAGTTGCCTCAAGGAAATTACCTGGTAAGAATAGAAGCAAGTGTTATGTCTCCCCTAGAGGCAAGAGATAAATGACACTGGAATATGTACTAAAGTTTCTTCTGCTTCTATTAAACCCAAGATCACACTTGTTTTTGCAGAGAGAAAAGGGGGAAACTCCGCTACGAGTGCTTCAGTTACACCACTTACTGCAATATTAATCACAGTGAGTATTCATACGTGCAAGGTAGCATGAATGTAAAAAAACCGTAGTTCTCATGACACTATGGCAGAATCACAAAAAATAGAAGAGATTCACAATTTCTTCAGACAACTTGGTCTTCAGCCAGTTAGGTATTAGTACACTGTCCAGAAGGCCTACAAAGGATCCAGTGTTATTTTTCTTTTCTACTCTCTCAAGGCATTAGTATAATACAGCACAGTATTTAAACCATACCTGAAATGCAGCTGATTATAGCTATGGTTACAGGACATACGCTAGTTAGAACAAACAAGGCAGGTAAGAAACACTATCATCCATCTTCTAATATATTGTTTTCATCAACAGTCCTTGCTTCATATCCCTATGCAAAAGCGTTCTTGCTTTCTGGACTGTTAAAACTTAAAATTCAGAGTACAAGTAAAGAAGGCCTTACTCTACAGAGCCTAACTTACCATTCTCATTGTGTCTGTCCTGAACCAAATGCTGATAGACTGAATCTGGGACTTCAGACTGGCGATAGTACCATTTGACATTCATAAGGAGGTGGTCCCGTTTACTCTGAAAAAGAAGGTCTAAAGGCATTACTAAAAAGGAAATCAGACCACATCTGACACAATCTTCTAAAGTATAAGATTTGTTTTCACACTGAAGAAAACCTGAGGTAAGACCCAAAAGGGAGGAAAACATATTTCTATGACAATGAAACAAGGGCAATGTGCTAGTGACAGACTGACTTTCAAACTAGACAAAGGCGACAAGACTACTGCATCATCACGCGGGTGCGTCTCTCTCTATATCTGACCGGCAAACACTAATCATTTCACTCACAAAACACTAACACAAGAAAAGAAGAGGCAGGGATCAGAAAAGGATTGGGATTGTTGGCCTCATGCAGTATGATCTTAGTCTGCTAATTTCTACAAACAAGAAGTATTTATGGCCAAACACAAAGGAATACCAATAGTAACACAATTCAATGCAACCATTCTTAACAGTTGTAACCAAGAGATACCAGACTTTTTTCCCCCAAGGACAGATGGGTTCAGCCATAATCGTAGACATTCTTTATTACAGCCCTTTACACAAAGAAATAGGACGCTGCACTGCAATCCCAATAATTACAGGCTCTGACTGCTCAGCACCTCACAAAACCAACAGCAAAATTTACATTTAGCAAAAAAACTATCTTCCTCAAGTGCTCTTTTTCCATTTGAGAATCCAGCTACCAGTTTGTTCCTTCTTAGAAGAAAAGAGAAGCATAAACACCACATAAAAAGAGAATTTTGAGATCAAGTTATTACAGAGACTCTGCTTCGGTTTCTCTTTGAAACCCTTGCTAGCCAATTCTTTCTACGGCTCCAAAACACTTGAAGAAACAGAGGAAGGCCTAAAGGGAAAGTCACATTCTTTTGGAATGAGGCAATGGCAAGCACCGTTTGTTTTTTCTGGACTACAGTTCTCTAGACCCTTCTAAGACTGTTCTTAAAACATTTACATTTGAAAGTTAAATCACAGGTTACTGGACCAGAAACTTCTTATTGTCTCTCCTGTTTGCATCAGCCTAGCAGTTACAGCAATTTCCACCCTTTCTGCTTAATAAACAACATCGAAATCTTCCCCTTAAATGCACTTGAAGCCTTTGATTAAAAACACGTGTAATACCGCAAAAAACCTGCTAGTGGCAGCATTTTCCCAGAAAAAAGTTTGTTAAGGACCCCACCACTCCCACGTGTGCTCTGTGTGCCGACTGCCTCGAAAACCATTCAGCAACGCACTAAGCGCACTTGGGCTGTGCAGCAGAAACCCGAACCTACTTAATTTTTTTAAATAACATATTTGAAGTCAAAGACAACAAGCTTGTCTAATGCGTGAAAAAAAGCAAAAGGACAAAGTCTGAGATGCAACACTGATTTCTGCTGCCTGCTGTGCAAAAAGTGTGGCTGCAGACTTTACCGTTCTCCTTAAATAAAGTCCTGTGCATCACAGTTTCTATGAATAGTCTCTCTGAATTCTGAAGACAAAAAATACAAGTAAGTGTTCATAAAGTCTATTTATTAGTCCTAGCAAGTACTGCATGCAACAACGATGGGAAACGTCAACCCAGCATTCCTCTGCAAATTCTCTTTGCACTTCTTCGCTGAGAGGAGCAAACACCCCTCTTGTGCTCCACGAAGCCCTGAGAGCACACTCAGAGAGCAGCACTCTGTGGCACGAAAACTACTCACTTACACGTACGGACGGTTTACAACAAGCGTCAAAAGCTAATGCTTCAGTTTTCTTGGTTTATGCCACTGAAGCCGGGTGTCTTTCAAATAATACAACACTCCAAGGAGCACTGTAAGGAGGCATAGGCACACATATATATGCAACCATGAAGGAAGACTACAAAAAAACAGTACTGAATTTTGTTGGTGGCGGTGTTTTTGAACAGCAAATTACATCAGAGGGGAGGAGATGGACTAGAAACCTACACTGCGCTCTGCCAGGGATGGTGCTTCCAAATGCTTGGCCACAAACCGAATCAAAGGTCTGAACAACAACCAGCAAGCCAATGGAGAGATCTGAGAGAAGGAAACAAGTTACTATACCTTGGTAAAAAGAGCTAGTCACGGAGAGGACAACGAGAGCAAACGATGAATGAACGGCTACAGCCTCATACGTAACCTTACGACGGTTCTACTATGAGTTGAGTTTTGCAGAAAGAACTCAAGAACTGTAACAATTTTGCGTGAAAATGTCCTTTGTGTGTGCGTACACTGAGATTATATTACAACAAAAAGGGAAGGATCAAAACTGCCAAATGTTTTCATTGCCTTGGCATCACAGAGCTGTGGGCTGGGAGGTCGCAGCTTTATTTTGAATTCGCCCAAGACTGTAAAGGAGATGGTGATGAAATCACTTAACTTCCCTGTCTCAGTTTCTTATTGTATCATAGAACAGCACAGGGCTTTTAGCAGCACGGGGATGAGGCTAAGGTCAACACTTCCAAAGCATTCTGATACACTTGGACAGAAGAAATTACTGGTTGGAAGTGAGGTTTTTCCACTCGCTGCCGTAAGGGCCCACCTCATTCTCTCCCCTCCTCCCAAAAGACCCTCCCAGTTTGTCACTCAGTCAATACAAAGACAAGTTTTTGCTTATTGCTCGCTCGCTCCTGTAAGCTTCACCGCAAACTCCCAGGTTCCCCGACATGCGGCAAAAAAAATGGAATAGCAGGGGATTACACAAGAGCCTATTAGGAATATTCACATGTGAAGGCAGGCAAAGTATTTACTATGTTTCGCAGAATTTTATCACCTTCTCACTCAAAAACCCCATACTTTAGGAAAGCATAACATCTACATACAGTCGGGAGCTTTTTGCTAGTTCAAGCATTTTAATTTGATGGGAAGGTACGCATTTCCCATTTTGAAATTTTGTTCTCAGACTCACAGAACGCCTCAGTTGTTCCCTTTGCTGTGCTTTATTCCAGAGGTTAGCAGTCACTCTGCTCGGTGAAAGAGAACAACAACATTCCCTCCCCTGAAATCAGATTCACAATCAGGAAGAACACGGGGAAGGAGATTGAATTTCAGGAGGCTGGCTGAATCTAAGGAGTTTTCAGGGAAATGATGAATTGCCCTACACTGCAACCTGCCACCAGGAATGGTATTGACTTCTTTAGCTTGAGCATGCAGTTGTGAGGCACTGTCAGAGGGGGAGGTTGCAAAGAAAAAGAAATTACAGGGGTTTTCATAACACAGAAAAGTAGCTTTTCTTTCGTTACACTTCAGAAACAAAAATGATGTACCTTTAAAAACGAGAGAAAAAAGTGAAGTTACAATTAGAACCAAAACAGATGATAAAAACAATAGAAACATCAATCCAAATGGTGTGTATAAGCACAGATTTGAAGCCATGGCATACACCAACCTTCTATGCTTTTAACTTCTAAAAACTAAATATTATGAAATAGGCATTTTAAAGGAATTGTAAGTGATGGGAAAAGATGAACATGGCCAATGTACACATCTAAAAATTATCAGACTCATTATGTATCTTTCAAAAAGGAAAGCAGCACATCCTGCACGATGCTGATGGCTCTTCATCAGCTGAATCACAGAATGCACATATATGGCACGACTCAATGCCTCCATACATAAGAAACCAGCAACAAAAATATCATCATTACAGCTGAGATGTGTAAGTAACTTTTTACAGAAAAGCCTCTGGACAATGATGCCACTAAAAATATGCTGATATACTAATGAGCTGCTAGTTGTGCTCTGCTGATAGCAGTCGCGTTTGGGCTGTGGCTTTGTTTGGGGGGGTGGGTGTGACCTTCCTAAATACCTCTTTTTACCATCATTGCTGCTTTTTGTCCAATTAATTTAGAAGATTCATCTTGAAAAGTATTTCCTGTATTTACTCTCCAACATCCATGATTTTGTGAGTTTTAACCTGAAGTTTCAATCTCCCCAAAAATACAAAACGTCTGTCAGAACCTTGTTTTTCACATTTACATCCTTCATTGCACAGAAATTCCTAAACATGCTATTTTGTCAGCCAACTTTCTAAATATGTATGTCATTTACAGAGCAGACTATATTCAGAGGTGTCAAGGCGCCGACTTCTGTGGTAGACTATTTATTTTTGAACCATGTGCACACAAAAGAAGTGTCCCCTAGTTCATGAAGTGTTACTTTTTTTTTTTTTACACCTTTACATATGAAAAGCTGCAGATAGTCACATGCCAAATTCAGACTTGCATAAATCACAGCAATGGCAACTGCTTTAAAGCATCTTTGTCAGCTCAAAAAGATTCCCTGTGCTACAAAACTCCATTCTCCCCCTAAATGAAAATATTGTCTATTGCTGCAGTACTGAAGTACTCATTAGGGGGTTTTGTTGTTGCTCCTGTTTGGGGTTTTGTTCCTTTTAAACAACATTAATCAGTTTTGGGCATTCAACAAGAATTAGATAAAATCTGTAAATGGATTAAAGCATCCCAGTGCACAAGCATCTGGTCAACTTCTATTGAAAAATGAGCCTCTCCCTCAAAAGGAAAAAAACAAACAAACTTGCAGGTTCTCTTTAAAAGTATGAATGTACCGATTTCCACAGCATTTGTGGCAATTCCAAGGTGCCAGTTTTCTTTTAGAACACACTTGAAACCAGAGTTACTGTACATTACGATTCGTCTCTTAAGAGATTCCACATTCTCTTCCCAGGGCTATGACTAACCAAATTGTGCAAATGATCACAGATGTCCTGCAGATTCTCTCAGAGGGATTTAAGCAGTATCCTTCATTACTTGCCCTATTTAGATACCACGTTAAATCACAACTAGCTTTGGAAACAATATACCAAATGCTGGAGATGACAGATGGGCACGCTGGAGTCAGTGAAGAGTAGCTGTTTCAAAGAAACAAACAGCAAAATAGATACAAGGAAAAGAATATCTTTCCTTTCAAACATGTTTTCAACAATGAAATTTTTCTATCAGAAAAAAAGACTCACGTGATTAATTCTAAGCTACCAAATTCTTTGTATTATTTTAACGCGTTAAATATTTTAAC